CAGGCACGTGCCACCATGCCCAGCTAATTTTTGTATTTTTAGTAGAGACGGGGTTTCACCATGTTGACCAGGATGGTCTCGATCTCTTGACCTCGTGATCCACCCGCCTCGGCCTCTCAAAGTGCTGGGATTACAAGCGTGAGCCACCGCGCCCGGCTTATTTTTTCCCTTTTAAAGTAATGGTGAACAGCATCTTCAGTTTTGCAAACATTTCCTAGCAATTCTTAGTGATTTTTTGTTGTGGCTGTTTTATTTCTATATTGTGAAGTCCACTTTTTAATGAAAAAATAATGGAAGTTTAGTTACTAAACGTGACTTTCTATCACTAATTTCCACTAAATGTAGGTGCTATTTTCTAAGTGTGGGGAATATGTCTCTCATAAAAAAAGTTGTCATACTGAGTTTTTGAACCATTTTTTTCCTCCATAGAAAGATGTTTAAGATACTTATTGTAAAGGCCCTAGGAAGAGTGGCTGTTACCCTGTGTGTTCTGGAGCAGGTGCTACTGCAACAGACCTGTTTTTACCAGTCCAGTGTCCTGTTTCCTTGTGTATTACTAGATCACAAAGTTTCTAAAATTTGGGTGTTAGCCTGGACAATATAGTGAGACCTCATTTCTACCAAAAAAATAAAAATAAAAAATTAGCCAAGTATTAGGGGTCCCAAAATTAGCCACATCTGTGGTCCCAGCTACTGGGAAGATCATTTGAGCCAGGGAGGTTGAGGCCGAAGTGAGCCATGATCACGCCACTGCACTCCAGCCTGGGCAACAGAGTGATATCCTATCTCCAAAATAAAATAAATTTGGGGGTTTGTGTGTGAGAGCATCTCAAGACTTTTTTCGTGTACTATCTTTAAATTGTCTTTCCTAGACCTTGTGTATTTTAATAATCTTTTAGCCCTCCATATCTGCAGCCTTTGAAAAGTAGCATTGTTAAATATGTATATAGTGTGCAGTGAAACAAAACAGCTTCCAAGCAGCAAATCATGTTAAAATCATACATTCAGTTGACTGAAGCCATGTAGCATCCAAGAGATAATATCTTTCAGTGGAAATAATGATCAAACTTATGGCCAGGATGGTGGTTAACTTTTTAGTGCCAGAATCTGCACAAGAACAGGAATGATTTCCAGTTAATAATTCTCAGAGAGGAATGATTTTACATTTTATGTTTTTGTAGAAGGTTAAAGTACTTCCAGGGGGTGGTTTCAAAACACATTGCTCTCCTAATGAGAGCCGGTGCCTGTGTTCTTTTTCTCTTCTAATTTACAGTCTTGCTCTCCCCACTCCCAACAAGCCTTCACAGCCAATAGCCAAAGTCAGCAATATGGGTTTGATATCACATTACCTCCAGAACAGTTCACTGAAGGATAGTCTTTGTGAATTTGTTATGATGATATTTAATTTGTGATAAAGACTTTTTAGGGAGAGTTGGAAGCATCCCATATATATTCTTTTTGCTGAATTTTTTATATTTGTATATTTTAAAGGTAATTCCTATGAGTAAGTAGTTAATGGATGGGTACCTCTAAAAGTGAACTCAAACTGTTTTGCCATATATTGTAGCATATTACTGTTTTAGATTATTAACATTAGCTTAACCAGCATAAACAGCTGACTTAGCACCCAAATAAAGTTTTTGAGCGCTTCACTCCTTGCAGGGGTTGTGAGGGGCTCATTATTGCATTGACCTTATTAGGAACCTCATATTTAGCTTCAGGTAATGGGCTTTGAATCAGGGCTTTCACATTAAGCTCACAATCCTAGCACTTAAGGAGTCTGTGGGGCAAGTAATGGAAGCTCCCTGAGTGTCCATTTTCTGGACTGCGGACATGGTGTATGTTAGTGTCTGCCTCAAGGACACTGGGAGGAGGTGAGGAGTGAAGGATGTGAGTTTCACACTGAGCCTGGCCCCTGGAGGTGCTCCGTGCTCATGGGCACTCAGCTCTCAGAGTAATGCAGCCTAAAACTGTAACTGCAGGTGCTC